ACTCAACCGAAGCCGTGAAATGATCTTGCATATCTTCATCTTGTTTTAATAGGTCTAAAGTAGCCTCAAAATCATCGCCAATCAAGGAAAAATCTTCTACTCCGTCCACCATGTTCATTGTTGTCATAACGAGTGTGCACTCTCGTGATCACATGACCTGCCTGTTCAACATCAAGAGCAGGCCTATTATCTACCCCTATGAAGTCTGCCGGGTTTCATAACCAGTCCCCTCCACTAACTCTGCTATTAGTATGTCGTTAAACTGTAGTACGTTTTGTATATCATTGCTGAACATTTTGATCATGCAAATTCTTACTTTTTGGGTCTTCCAAGGTAAATGTTAAAAAAAACTTTTCCATAGTTAACTCTTAGTTACGTAGATGATGTTCAGTACGTTTTGCACATCATTGAATATTTTGATTCTTCTTTTTCTTCCTTCTGAATTATTTATCGGGCCTTAGTGTACTTTTCAAGGTTAATGTTGAAAAAATGTTTATCATAATCAACGTTTAGTACCTTTTGTACTTCAAATTTAACTTTAGTGCAAGGTAGATGTTAAGTGTCACCGCGCCCAAACGTTTTCCCCGTGACTAGCCCCATGAATTCAAACTAGTCTTAAATAATAATACTAGTCGCAGTGACTAGTCCTATGAAATTTTGATTGTCCCGTCATGTGAACTGCTTGTGCGTATACGACCAAAAACAAAAGCATTCGGTGACCTTCGTGTAAACACCACATGGGACATCCCTGTGGCTGGTTGCACGGTAATATGAGTGACGAGTCCCTCCGTCTTTTCCGAAATTTTTGCGAAAAAAGTTGTAGCTAGCCATGGTTAACTCAGTTTTTAGTACGTTTTTTTAATCAAAGGTCAGCCTTAAGTACGTAGTCAACCTTTGATACATTTTGTTACAGCTATCGAAGATGTTTGTTATACACCTCAAATCAAACTCACGGGGTACAAATAGTCTCTCACTGAATTTCGTGACCACGCCAGCTTCATCGGCCCACTCAAATCGAGTGCGATTTTTGGATATCATCTTGCCGACTCTCTGTATAAAAAGTTAACAGTGTACCACCGAAATATTGAACTATAATATCATGGCTTTCCATTTTTTGTATTTTCGTACTACAAAGTAAAGTTTTTCCCTCGTCATTTTCACCTTTTCCCCAGCGGGTCCGTCAAAATTAAGAAGGCGTTCGTGGTCAAATCAAGACCGAGCAAGCGCAAATTGAAAATGTACCGCCAAAATCAAAGAGAGGAACAAATTTCCTTTCTTTTGATATGTAAGTTGTCGAACAAGGAGCAGATTGAACCTCGTCAAATGGCTAGTCAAAACAACCACACCTTCCTCCTTTTGCTCGTTTCCTGTTTTATAGGGGTGAAAGCAGTGGGAGAAGAATCGGGTAGCTCGGAAAGCGCTTCGGGTATTAATTTACCATCGTTTACTTACGAGATAAACAAGTAAGATTTGTAAAGTTATTTTCCGAAAGAGTCGGAATAAATACATTTTTTTCAGGTTAGATTGCTGTTTTTACCCTAAACGTCGTCCAATAAATTTTTGTTGCAGCCTACTAATCTATACAATTTCGAAGGAAAATATTCAGATGCTTCACCGTCCCCGAAGGGTCTCCACTCATCGAAGGGTGTACTGTAGCCAATGTAGTGAATTTTCAGTCTCTTGTTGGGTTTGTCAACCTCCGTGACTTCAACATCATACAATTTTGTATCTTTTCTCTGTGAAATGACCTTTTTAACAGGGGTGTATGCTGAGTATTCGTTGCAGAATCGCTTTGGTTCTCTTATATCTCTCTTTGGCTTGTCCGCCATTTTGAAAATTTGCTCAGGAGGGCATCTGGGTTAGCGGCCGCGCCAGGCTGGAACCGACAAAAACAAATATCCATCGCAGTGGGGAAACAGTTTGATATGCTTACCGCCTGGCCTTGGTGTTCTTTTTGAGGCTTATGCTAAAACATATTGGGAATGAATGATAAACTTTGTTCTCGGATGATTCTCTGTTTCATTATGTCTTACTTCTATCTTACATCTGCCTGATAAAAGACACGATCATGATAATTCCCCCATCCCTATTCCTACTCAAACGATTTCTGTCTGAGAAGACGTGACTTTGCCCGTTACATCAAGAACATCACTTTCTATTTAATTGTCTTCGGATGTAAAACATCCATTTTGTGATCTATTGATTAAGTTGAAAATGAATCACCTTTAGTATGTACGTAATAGTTACAAACGTTTTATGTAACTGGCAGAATTAAAAAATATATATCTCGACATTTTCTCTTTTCCTTATCGACTAGAGCCGTTTTTGGAAACGGAAATTGTAGATTTCCATTGTTAACTGTCATGCTGTAATTCGTGCGTTGCGCTTTTGTTGGCGAAGGACACACAGTTTTGATCTCAAATTACTTAGCAAACTTCTTGCTGGTAACATTTCGTAAAACGAACGCACCTTGCGCTGAATGATGTGCTTTTCTTTTCTTTTTTCGTAAATGCAACAAAGTATAGTGCTCGCTGGCGCAACTGAGTAAGTATAAACTATAACTAAACTAACTATATCTATAAACACGAGAAAATTTCTAAAAACAGACTATAATAATGCGAGTGTAAATCTTGTAGCTCAAGTGGTCCTTCAGAATGAATGAGGAAAGGCGGCAGTCCCACATCAAGCAATCGAGCAAGAACCTAACGCGGTACGTTAGGTTCTTGGGCTAATAATGCATCCTCTATACTGATGCATTTATCAATCAACACGGTTTCATGACCACGAATGGGAATCGAAAAAGACACGCAGCTTTGAAGTGTTTACACGGAACCTATTTAATCGTTTCCCCGGTGCTTTCCAATGTGATTGCTTGAGCAAGCGTTCCTCTCCATGGTGCTTCATCGTGTTTACTCTTCGCCAACCAGCCAATTTCAGCCAAAAAGACGCAACCGTTTTCAAAGGGATGCGGTCTTTTCGATGAAATGACGAACGGAACAAAATCGTTTTGAAAAAGTTCCACGTCCGTTAAAGTTTTCAAAACGAGCCCCTTTCAGTAGCAGTCTCGATAGGTGCCATGTGCTTAAGCTATGCGGTTACAAATGAACCCTGTCAGTGCAAACAGTGTCCGTGGTATCCCTGTTCTACCTTAGCCACTTTCGCGTGGTCCAATTTATTCACTGAGAAAAAAAGGGGTTGCTTCTATTTTAACTAGTTGCATCATATGATCATCGTAATGATACTCAGAGGGTAGATTACTTTATTTATAAGCTCAGTTTCAAGACGCATGGAAATGTAAAGAACATTAAAGTGCATTTCTTATCAAAATATCTAAGCCAAAAAAGTAATAAAAAACGACGGAAAACTCAATGAAACAGCGCGAACTTTAAACTTAGTTCACAAAAGAGGAACACAGTGATTAAGAAGGTAGATTCACCATACAATAATCGCGATAAGATAATCTGTCTTTAAATAGAAAAGCAGATTTGCAATACGATTGAGTATATATAGGAAATGTCCTTACAGTAGTAAAGCTATGTAACGCACTACCTGTAACCCAACAAGAGGCCTTTCGCTGCCATAAAGGTCTCAATTACTATCACTAAAAATGCATGGAACACGTGCGCTGTTGGAGAGCGTTTCAGAGCGTTCGGTCACAGCTGTTGATGAAGGATCAAAGTGGTCATCCAGATATTTGAAACGTCTCAAACTACGACGCACAAGAAATTTGACCTCTCGAAAACTGGTCTCAAATTACATACCCAAACAGTGCTTACGTTAGTCCTTGGGAACGATAGAATACGCGACAAATACGTACAAAAATACTTCACATTCATAATTACATAATTACACAATGACATAATTCAAATTCATTAACCATGGCGAAAGGAAAAAGAAACGGCAGTCACAATCTGTTTTATTTTTGCTTTGATCAGTTGAGTAACTCTCCCAAGGATCGATTTGCTTAGAAAACTTGGAACTAATAGTGTGATTGTCAAATAGTTTATCAAACAACTGCCTTGAAAACTACAACACTTTGGTACACCTATGCAACCATTTATATCTATTCAGCGTGCTTTACAAATAGACCTAATATGAGGTACAACCGTAAGCGTGTAATGATGTCATGATACCTGTAGTTTATTTTGTAATAGACACACGTACGCAGAGCGGACCTATTTTTTAATCCTAACGTGCCGATGTCATTCTCTGAATAACGTCTTCCTTCACTTGATTCACCAGGCTTAAATTCTACCATCTTCATTTACATCATCATTGCACCTAAGTTTCACTTATCGACATTCCTGTCATTGCGGTATACAGGAGGCTTGTAACCATGGTCGTTGTTAAACAACCTGGCTGGACACGAGTCTCTCACGGCTCAGAAGTAAAACGTCTTTGGGACAAATCAGAAGGTCATAGCTTCGACACCTATAGGGAGCACTCGGAGTTATTTTTATTTTTATCTTTTTGCTTTGTTGTGCCTTTTTTGTTTGTTTTTATGCCTGTGTCACTCACTGACTAACACCTTCCTTCACATAAATTACCATGCTTAAAATTTGCCATCTTCATGTACATCATCCTTGCGGCTCAAATCGGAAGGTCGTAGATTAAACTCCGACTGGGAGCACACGGAACTCTTTTTTATATCCAAGTATGCCTGTTTCATTCACTGAATAACATCTTTCACCTGACTCACCAGACTTAATTTACCATTACTGACATCATCATTGCGCCTACGCATCATTTATCCACATTCCTGTCCTAGCAGTGTGCAGGAGGTTTGTCACCATGGACCTAGTCAAACGGCCTAGCTTGCCACGATTTTTCTAAAATTCAGTGGTACTGATCATTGGTTCGACTCCTGTTGGGAACACTTGGACTACTTCTTTCGTGAATAACATCTTCCTTCAACTTCCATGAACTTCTTTTTCATCTCAAGAACTAAAAACAATTTAAAGTGGAATACTGCCATAGTTTTAATAAAAGAGGAGACAAACTCAACCTATTCGTATCGCGTTTTTTTTATTTTACCGTTAAGCCCTACATATCCTTTAATGAAAAACGATCAAATAAAATGTAACCCTTTAATGATATAAACCCTTAACACAAGATTTTCAATTTAATCAGGTAGAACGACTTATTACATTCCATGTCTTTATTGTATCGCTGCATATCTTTGTTGACCCTTTCTTCACAGCCTAAGAAAAGATAACGAAAAATAGATTAAAATGAAAATTCAATTTATCCTGTTAAGAATTCTGACAGAGGGAAAACGTTCGCATGGTTCTACTAAGTCGAATACCATACTTAGGAAAACTTATGCCATATGCGACTGAAACAGCTTGGGCTAACAATATTTCAATTCATTCTCTTGAGAAAAAAACTCAATTCAGTAAACGTGCTTATGAAAGGGACCTAGGCCATTGCTTGTAAATGGCTTCCCAAGATCAATAAGATCGTAAATTCAGAGTGGTCTTACAACTGGCTCCATTCTTACAAGGAGATGACGCACATTCGTCCACTTTAGTAACAAAAAAAATTTACGAATGTTCACAATTACCTTTGATCATAAAAAATATATATATATATATCAAACCGTAACATCACAAAAGAGTTTGAAAGTTAAATTAATCCCAACTCCTCAATTAGAAGATGTGGGAGTAGCAAAACTAAAAATTCTCAGGACCAATTTTTATTTGACAAGAGGAAAGTAAACTTCCGAGTTAAAGAGAATGGAAATGCACCCAAAGAGAAAACTGATATCTATGATTTCAACCACAATAGCCCTTGTCGTTAAAACATCAGGAGATTTGACAAGTCAAATACAAATCATGCGGAAACAGTCCATCTGGAAATAAAGAGCAATCCAAAAGAAGAAAAAAAGTAGATAGGTGGTACAGGTGTTATCATAACTGTTTGTTGTTTAATGTCACATTGTTTCCCAGAACTCGCCATTTTTTGAAAGAATCGGGAAAAAATAGAAACTATGTTCGGAATCCGAAACTAATCAAATTTGGTTCCATTTTTTTATTGCCTACCACAGTTTGCCCAACAAACCTGTGTTACGCAACCAAGCTTACCAAATTCCTGATTTTATTGTTTACCGCAGTTAGCCCAATGTCCTTTGTAAACTTTGTCTAATGAACACCACAATCTGTGATGAGCGACTTTGGTACAAGATTCGTACTTCTTCCCTCTATACACAAAAGGAAAAACACAGCAGCGGCCATGCGGGTTGTCTGTCTTTTTGCCAGGTGAACAAGGGAGCCCTGTAGAAGAACCATAAGAATTGCGCGTCGTTCTGTATAAGCACAAAGAAGGGTTATCAAACGCAAGCTATCGTGCTATTCAAATTGACTCGCTTTTTTCGCGCGTGTCTCCTTCAAACTCGTTAGTGCATGTACAAAGAATGAATCAGGACCGCTTATTGTACATGTTCCACCATTTTTACATGGAAGTGAAATAACAATAAACATTGTTTGGTCAATTAGTAGTCCACAACCGAAGCCCGAAAAATGTCTTAAACAATCATATTTCTTATACCTGTACCTTTTTCACACCTGTTTCCATGATATCCCTCAGCACAGTTACAGCTGTAAGAGTCATCTCCAGTTACTGTGCAGACTCCTCCATTTTGACAAGGGTTGTTTGTACATGGGTTCACTAAGGTTTATAACAAAACTTAAAATTAGGTATCCTGGATTTTTGGCAAGGGTTGTTGTTCCCGGTTGTACTAGGGCTCAAGGTCGTTCAGTTGTTACCTTAGAAAGCAGGAACTTATTTTAGGTAAAATGTAACGTAAAAAGTTATTGAAATTGGTCTGGCCGATGGCAAAGCTTGATGTTTGTGTCCAAATATACTTTTGTTGTGTACTGCAGAAAACCAAGCATTTCGTGGGTTATCAACTATAACTTAAGACAAATTAATTTTAAAACTTGGCATAGTGATGAAATCCCAGCTTAAATCCTTCGAAATGTGCCTCGAGTCCCTATTTACCTTTTAGTGTGTTAACATAATCCACCACCATAAACGTTTTTTTATTCAACTTGAGCATGATGAGGAACCGCGAGATTACTCTAAGCCCGGTTTTAGTTCCATTCCCCAAGTCGTCATAACACGAACTAAGGAGAAACGTCTAGGTTTTTTAGGGCACTTTGGCCGTATGGAGGAAAACATTCTATCTCAGTGATGAAAGAGGATTATTACCTCATGCTATTTTGTTTCGCACAACTAGAATTTTTCAAAACAATCGTTGAAAACTTTGTTGTACACCCAAACTTGTTAAAGTTGTCGTTGTTATAACTTACCGCAGTTAGCCCAATGTCCTTTGTAAACTTTGTCTAATGAACACCACAATCTGTGATGAGCGACTTTTGTGCAAGAGTTGTATGTCTTTCCTCCATAAACAAAAGGAAAGACACAGCAGCGACCATGGGGATTGTCTGTCCTCTTTTCAGGATTACACCAACCCGTGACTTTAAGAAGAAAAAAAGTAAGAAATCTTACAAAGACTTTACTCTAAACAGCCTTATTATATTTAAAGGGCCTTGACGTATCTGTCAGAACACAATAGTTCTCCGTTGAACCTCAGTACATTTTAGTAAATGTCGTTAACGGTTAAAGAATTGAAAGAAGACTAAGGGAAACTTCACAGCAATTGTTTGATAAGTATTATCTCTAAGTATTTCTTAGCAGCAATATGTGTATTTGGTCATTGAAATTTTCGTCGCTGAGTTAATGTGTTGTGATGTTGCTCTTTCGAAGCGTCTTTGATACAGTTCATGTCACGCCCTGCGCTATTTGATCATCGCAATAACCAGGAAAGTCTTCTAATCTCAGTAATCAATAGAAGGCCTAACAGCTCACGTTAATGGAAGATATCGCTATCGCGCGTGATCTGTATATGATGTGAAGTGAAAAACAAAACTAAAGAAAACCAAAGCGGATTATCCGCAGGGATCACATAAGACAAGTTATAGACTATCTGTCAAACAATGCATTACCAAGGCATCATGTCGCGATAATGATCATTTTAGTAACAGTTCCCTTTAATATGTGAAGTAACACTCTCTACGTAACGCTCGTATTCCCAATTTATTATCCAACTACACCTAGACGAGTACGAATAACGCCATCGACGAGTACAAATATCACGCGGTATTTGTACTCGTCTATTGTAATACCGGCAAAGTTGAAATGGTAAATTGGCCACCGTAATGATTACAAAAGCTGACGTTTCGAGCGTTAGCCCTTCGCTCCGACGAAGGGCTAACGCTCGAAACGTCAGCTTTTGTAATCATTACGGTGGCCAATTTACCATTTCAACTTTG